CAGGACGGGGGCTCCTGGCCACCCCCCACGCCGGCGCGGGGAGCCTGCAGCTCCCGGCCAGTCCCGCTCTGTGCTCTGCCAGGGGCTCGGGGAGATCCCGGCCGGTTGCAGCCCACAGCCAACCAGCACCCTCGTGCCCAGCCCCTCAGGCCTCCTGCCCCAGGGCAAGGACATCTCAGCTCCACTCACGCCTGCTGACAGACGCACGTGGGGCTCAGCACCAGCTTTGGAGCAGACGAGGATCCCACCACGAGGGAAGGGGCTGGCGAGCCCCGGTGCATCCTTGAGCGGCCACACGCTCTGCCCTCTCTTCGCTTTGGCCCCAACCTGGGCACCCTCCATCAGCAGCACATGGGAACCTTGGGGCCCGGGACTCCTGCAGCCGAGCAGGATGAGCAGGGGCTGCTCAGTGCAAGCAGCTCCTTCCTCTGCTCGTGCCTCTCCTGCCTCCACCGCACGGCCAGTGCCAGGTGCCTACCAGCGACAACCTGCGACTGGGGTGCTCTCACCTTCCTCCTGGGCTTCCTCTTCCTCATCCAGCCCAGGGATATCCCCAAAAGGCGTGCTGGGGTTAAAAATGGTCTGTAGGACGGCTCTGTCGTTCGCCGTGGCCATGGTGAGCCTGGCACCAAGGTCCAGCGGGGAAGGTCCCTCTGGTGCAGGCTGCGGGACGGACTGGGCAGCCTGCGGGCGGCGAGGACAGGAGGGCACCTGCCAGCAACGGGGCAGGTTAATGTTCACGCTGCCGGCACTGCTTCACCCTTCCCCATCCTATCCTAGCCCGGCCGCAGAGCCCCTCCGCCCTGCAAACCCGACCAATTGCTGGAGGCAGAGGCCAAGCTGGAAGAGCCAAAACTTTCCAAGGTGACCTATGTGCGTCAGCAGCTGCAAGCCAGAGCCTGCGAGCCCAGCACCTCTCCACTAAAGCACTGCCTCACTCCGGTGGCAAAAGGGAAGCAAGGCAGCTCTGCAACCATCAACTGCTAGCACTGGCCCCTGCCTACACACCTCATATAAGCTCCTGGGCTCCTGCCAAAGGCAGGAGCTTCCTCTTGCCCTCTGCCTGTCCTTGCCTGTTTGTGGTGCTGCTGGGGTCATCTCTGCTTATTGCTCCAGCACAATACTGTTTGCATCTCTGCACAAACTTTCAGCAGCGTTAACATCCAAAACTCTGCTCATCTCAGCCCCGAGGTGGGAAGAGCTGGCCAAAGAGCGGAGGGCAGGAGAGGAACGACTGCAGGTACTTCCAGGAGCTCAGCACATGTGCTCCAGGCCCCCAGACCGCGCACGCTGGCAGCGAGCGTGCCCCAGGCGCAGGCTGCAAGGCACAAGGGGGCTGCTCCCACCACGTCCTCCAGCCCCAGGCATATCCCAGTGCCCGTCCCCCTCATCGACCTGCTCGAGGTCACCATAAGTCTGCAACTCCAGCCCTGAGCCGTTCTGTCCGCGATGCTAATTCAGCTATGAAACACCCCCGGAGCGCCGCGCAGAGATGCCCACCTGTCTCAGCGTCCCTCAGAGCCTCGGTCAGGCTTCCCACCGCTTCCTCTGGGCTCCACCGACACCTTTATGCAACGGTTGCTCGGGATGGGCAGCCTCTTGCGCAGAGCACCTCCAGGGAGGTGAAACGCAGACACGGACTTGCTCTGACCAAAGGGATTCCTCTCGCTCACATATGTTACTAATTTCCAGGGTGAGAGCATAATACTAATATTGACATTGGGAAAACAACTTCTCACTTAAGAATAAATCAAAAGCAACCCTCTGCAGCAATAAACTTGACATGTTTATTAATTAAACTATCACTTAAATAAAAAAAAGTGCATAGAAAATAAACATGTTTAAAAACTCCTTTGTTTTTTGTTTTTACAACTATGTACACTTTTTATTTTTACATTCAGTCTTTTGCAGAGCTTTCAGCATTTTTTTAAACTATTAAAGTATTTCCTTCTTCCCTGTGACAGGGAGTTAACACTGATGTACTTTAGACAACGTTTCCTCTTTTTTTTTTCTTTTTTGTTTCTTTTTTTTTTTTTTTAAGAAAAAAACCAGAAGCTTGGAAGAACACAAGAAAAAAGAAAAGATTTGTTATACATGATAAGTTGTCAAGAAATGTATTTCTAGAACATAACCTTGCTTTTGCAGAGCTTTTTTTTTTTTTTTTTTTGAAACAATTATTCACCTACCTGTACTTACTAAAGAGACTGTTAAGTTCAATAAAAGAAACACCACAAGTATAGTTCTTGGTTGATAGACAAAGCTACAGTACCTTGTTAAAAAGATACCAGGAAAGCACAGAGCACATTTTTCCCTATATGCAGGTGGTACCCCAACATTCATAACCAAAAAGAGAGGAAAAAAAAAAAAGAAAAAAAACAAGTTGTACAAGTACTGACTGGTAACATTAAAAGTCAGGAAAGTCCTCGAGCTGGGCACTTCCAGGCACTTCCAACGCTTCCAGTTATTTTTCAACTTTTGCCTCTCACTAATCGAATGCCCTCGCTACTCAGGCCTGATACGCTCCATGCTAGAAGCATACAAACCTGCAGTTAAACCTGGAAATACACAGCCTGATTTTTTCCTGCCTTTGTTAGCAACTGTAACACAATCCTTATCTATAGTGTTAAGAGAATTAAAAGCCATGGACCGATACTGAACTAGGCTTCATTACACGGTGCATTACTATATTAGTTCCTATATATATCGTATTTATAGTTATTAAAAAAAAACTTGCAAGTGTGTTGAGCGTGGACCAGTAGTATGGGTTTGAATGGCATGATTCTGCACAAAGACCATCTCACTGAAGAACCTGGTATTGCTTTGAAATGAAAGAAAAAAAAATACAAAAAACAAAAGATACCCAGCCCTTTGCAATGACCCGCTTTTCCTTTAAAAAAATTGGTTTGTACAAATAAACGCCCTAAGGTTCCATTTTTAGTATTTTCAGATATCATGATCTGTGTCAGTCCTTATAAAATATACATTCATATACTGGGAAGCTGTGCTGTGCTCACCATCAGCCTGGGCAGGACAGGGTCAAAGGGCACACAGGCCAGCATCCTACAGGTGAATCACTGAAAACCTGAATACTAGCTGCCAAGGTTTCTCCCGCCTTCCTTTTATTTGTCTGAAAAGGTGAGTACAAACATCTGTGCTGGACAGTACCGGGTGGGAAAGCAGAAGGGGGAGCCCAGGGAGCCCTGGCCCAGCCTCCACGTCAGCACAGCTCAGCTTCTCTGGGTTACAGACAGTTTCACTGGCCACGGCGGCTCCCGGCAAAGGCAGCCGCGACAGGTATAGCAGCAAAGCAAACAGCGAGCTGGATCTCCAGCAGATCCGCTGGCTCTACCAGTCCTCACACGAGAGGCGGCTCCTGGCGCTCGGTCCTGCAGGGACTCCCACGACACACACCTTTCCTTAGTTTTCCTCCCTACCACCCCCAGTGACTTCTCCCTAAATATGATGGCTTTGGGCAGTGTTTTTCAACCGGAGCTTCCTCCTGTTGAGGACTTGTTTTTCTCAGTCCTGTAGCCAGAAGCTACACTGACACTTAGCAGACCAGAATGGATCTGCTAGCTGGGGAAGGTGCCCCTCCTCGTTCAGATTCAGGGACCCCAGCAGAGTACACAGCTGAGTGGGACTACTCAGATATAATTCATGGGTTTCACCACGGCTAGGGCTGTCCCCCAGCACTGCTGTCAAAAAGAAAAAAAAAAAAAAAAAAAGAAAAAAAGGACAAAGAGCAGCTGTGTCTGTGGATACAGGGCTGAGATTCCCCCAGACATGCTTTTTGGCCTTCTCAGGGTGTGTGCGTTCCCAAACTGTCAGTGCATCAAATCATTTCAGTAACTAATGCAGCTTCAATTTGACTTTTCTTTAAACAGTTATTACCAAATAATAATCACGCAGTGCAATAAAGAAAGGAAACCAGCAGTTCCTGACCCTTCGAGTGCTGTATTTCTTTCTCAGATCAGAGGAAAAGGTCTTTGGGGCTGAAGAGCACAGATAAAGGAGTGCTAGACTGCGAACGCTAGGGAGCTATCAGTCAGTTCTGTCCGTTTTCCACAAACGACTGATGCTGTTTCAGAGTAGTCTTTCAATGTACCAACTCCAAAAACGGTTGACTGCCTGCCCACAGGGACAGCTGAGAAAAGTGAGGGTGCTTTATGGTTTATCTTCTCAAAGGAAAAACGAATATGTTTTCAAGAGGGGACAAGGAGTGTGCGCGTGGGTGCGTGCCCCGGACCGTCCCTGACCCAGAACGGTGGCAAGCCCTGGCAGGGCTGGCGTGCTATTGCTTTGCTAGTTCTCCACAGGACAGCGTTTCTGCATTTGGAGAGTTGTGGATTTGCCTAGAGAAGAAAATCAGAGTCTTTCCTCAGGGAAGCTACTCTGGACAAAGCAGTGGTGAGCAACAGAAAGATTTTCCCTGCTACTCATCACAGTCTCGGGGCTAGGTTCACGCAGAAGAACAGGGCCACTCACGCCTATCAGTTCTGCCAAGATATTTGCACCACTGACTTGGGGGGTGTCCACTCAGTGGAATGGGGCTAGCGGGTCTGCAGCTCCCTGACTCACAGCCCACCTACAGCTGTGACAATTTCAGGCTCGTCCCCAACTCAGGGACAGCTGATCTGAGTGGACAAAGCAGGGAAGAGTCATGCTTCCCACAGAAATGGTAATTGTGAATTCCAAACAAAAAGATATTAAGGGTCAGTCATCTCTTGCTATTTTTTTTCCTTTTCCCTTTTTTTTTTTTTTTTTTTTAAATACACATAGGCTACTAGCATGTGGCAAGGCAGAATCATGCCGCCTCCTGCCTGGGGGCATGAACATCTGTTCCAATACAGTCCCCATGACTCAAACTCCTCCTGTGCTGGGCAGCTCTCCCTCCTGTCCCCACCCTGACAAGTAAATAAAGTTTAAGGTCCAGCCAAACCTCCCAGAAACAGTTACTGAAGTCAAAAAGGCAGAACAAGATTAAAAAATAATAATAATTAAAAAAAAAGTGTATCCCTCTCTGGAGAAAGGATCAGACTGTGTCCAGCCAGATATTTCCTATAACCGTCCTATGAAAATAAAAACATTATTAAAAACAGATTCTTTTAAATTAGGATAACACCACTGTTTAAAAAGCCTCATCATAAGTGCTTTTCCCTATGAAGTGCTTCTGATAGAAAAATATACAAAATATATTTACATTTATAAAACCTTAAATACTAAACTGTAAACAGAACAGAGTAAAATCCAATGTCCTAATTTGTTAGGCTTGGGGCTTTTTATTTCTTTTGTTTTTGTGGAGGCGTGGAGCAGATCCAAAAGGGAGGAGGATTTATGCTACTTAAGCTAGGACAATAGCATCTTTCGATTCAGTTAAAGTAAGTTTGATTGTTCAGTTACAGGAATTTCAACTGTGCCAATTGGTTTTATTTCCTATGCAATTTTAAATGCTGCACGGAGTACGCTGAGGCTGGTTAGTGTTTGGCCTTGCATTTTCACAGAGAATTTACACTCCGTTTTGGTGCCTCTTCCTGTGCCATTCAGGGAAGGCTACATAACTACACCCAAAAGATGGATCACGACAGGAGCGTCCCTACAGAAGTCACTCACTTGTCTCTCTCACGTCCTATGACACTGTTTAACAAGCCCGAGCAGAGCTTCTCCTGCGGAAGCCTCCACAACTGTCCTTCCAAGTTCCTGTTCTCCAGTGGTAAGCGGCTAACAAGGGGGGGGAGAGGGGGGGAGGTCAGCTCCTGCTCCTCTCCCTAGAGACCTTCCATCCCTCGGACCAGCTCTGTGGTGGCAGAGCAAGGTCATTGTGGCTGGAAGAGCTTTTAGCTCCCTAGGTCAAAGGGGGAAGCCAGCTTCTGAAGATAAGAATATGGGAAAAGACTACCTCCCTCCTCTAAAAGGGGGGCTGCTGCTGAAATAAAGCCTTTACTCATAAAGATTTACAGCTCTGTAACTTGTTGGCACAAGCACTTTCTCTGCTAAAGAATGCCCAGAATTCTCCTGCACTCAAGCAGGAATTTCAGAGTGAAATGCTACCCACACTCTTTTCAGTTACTTACTGGCTGCGCTCTATTACCCTCTTCCCCATTCAGTTTTCCTAGATTACAACAGGGATGAGCCAGACCCAGACAATGCACCAGGCCACCTACGCCACACAAAGAATACCAACCAACTCACAAATAGTGTTTTGGAGATGCACAAGGAACCACAGACACGCACAAAGTTCTTAAAGTAGCTGGCTGGTAGGACACAGTCTCTCTCCCTAGGAGAAAAGCTCAGTCAAATACCGTGCTATTGAAACTCATCACACAGCAATCAAATGAAAATGAGAACTCCACATTCAGCACTTTGAGCCAAGAGATGATAGAGGGACAGGATCCACGATCCCTCCCCTGCACTGGGCCTGGGACTGTCTTCCCTCCTCTCTCCCACTCATTAGCCTCGTTCTGAGATACAATTACGAGTGGTGGGGGAGAAATGAGAATAGCAAAAACATAATTAAATTGAGGATCTTCTCCAATCGCCTATGTCTTTCGTAAGGGTAAGTGTGCGCATGCGAGACATGAAGATGTGGACTCTGACAGAGA